ACAGGCTGGAGAGCTGGGCAGTAAGAAACCAGATGAGATTTAACAAAAGCAAGTGTAGAGTCTTGCACCTGGGGAGGAATAATTGCATGCACCAGTACAGGTTGGGGGGTGACCTGCTGGAGAGGAGCTCTGCGGAGAGGGACCTGGGTGTCCTGGTGGATGACAGGTTGGCCATGAGCCAGCAGTGTGCCCTTGTGGCCAAAAAGGCCAATGGCATTCTGGGGTGCATCAAAAAGAGCATGGCCAGCAGGTCGAGGGAGGTGATCCTCCCCCTCTACTCTGCCCTGGTAAGGCCTCATCTGGAGTACTGTGTCCAGTTCTGGGCTCCTCAGTACAAAAAAGACAGGGATCTCTTGGAAAGAGTCCAGCGGAGGGCCACAAAGATGGTGAAGGGCCTGGAGCATCTCCCCTATGAAGAAAGGCTAAGTGATCTGGGTCTGTTTAGCCTTGAGAAGACTGAGAGGGGACTTGATCCAGGTCTATAAATATCTAAGGTGTGGGGGGCAAAGTGGCGAGGCCAGACTGTTTTCAGCAGTGTGCAGAGACAGGACAAGGGGAAACGGCCAGAAACTGGAGCATAGGAAGTTCCGCACCAATGTGCGCAAGAACTTCTTTACGGTGAGGGTGACGGAGCACTGGAACAGGCTGCCCAGGGAGGTTGTGGAGTCTCCTTCTCTGGAGATATTCAAGACCCGCCTGGATGCCTGCTTGTGCAACCTGGTGTAGGGAACCTGCTTTGGCAGGGGGGTTGGACTTGATGATCTCTGGAGGTCCCTTCCAACCCCTATGATTCTGTGATTCTGTGTGATACTAAAAGGAAGACTAGGAAAAAAACATGCTGCTGACATGAGCCAGCAGATTGTGCTTGCAGCTCTGAAGGCTGACTGTGTTCTGGGCTCCATCAGCAGAGGGGTGACCAGCAGGGAGAAGGAAGTGATTGTCCCTCTCTATTCTGCTCATGAGGCCCCATCTGAAGTACTGGGTCCCAATCTGGGGCCCCCAGCACAGGAAAGATGTGGAGCTGTTGGAGAGGG